ACTTTGAGCAACGGCTAATTGTAATGTTGTATAGTGCATTAGTTCTCTCCACCGTTGAATATGCCTTGGCCATCCTGACAATCAGCACCACACAGATGAACAGACTGGAAAAAATTGAAAACGAGGCAATGCGTATTATTCTGGGATGCACTAGAGACACCTCCTGTAAATCCATGCGATACCTCTTGGATTCCCCCACAATGGAAAACAGAATCTAGCTATCCAGGGCTGTTGCTTTCCTCAAATTGAAGTCAGACCATCAACACCCACTTTATGAGGAATCATTATAGCCATAAAAAAGAGCAGACTCAAACGAGGCAAATCCTGCATGGGTCGGGCTGACTGACTGACTGACTTTCTACCCCACTAGGACATCACACAAGCGATAAACACCTGATGACACAAAGTGCCACCATGTGGATGAGGATCACCGTGGAGAGGTCCCAGAAACCGCTTTCAGACAATTGGCCATATTTATCGCCTGCCTATATTGCGACCCCTGGCAAAAGCCAGGGTGGGGCTTCAAATAACAAAAAATGTCATCCTAAAAAAGACGAAGCTGGATATCTCGCCAACTAGCGGGTGTAATTTTTGATCGAGCTGAGGATGCCATCGAACATGTTTGCAACCTTACTGACATTAATTTTGAAAATGAATGGATAATTATGTCTCCCTTTCCAAACAGTAATATTACAGTCCATATCACACTTGATGGAAGCTGTAGAGAGCAGATTCCTGGCATTGTTGATACTTTAGTCAGAACACTGACTGACGAAACAATAGATGAAGGTGATGCTATAGTTTTCACAGATGGGTCAGTAATTAGGGGCAAGCAAAGTGCATGGGCCTTTACAGTAAGCTCAAGGGGGAAACCATCAAGAAGATGAATGGGGCCTTTGCTGTTACAAATAATAGCCTTACAATGGAAACTATGGCTGTAACAAGGGCTTTAGCATGGCTTGATACTCAAAAGTTCCCACACGTATGCATTCTTAGTGACTCGATGAATATGCTTAAAAATATCTAACCTGGATTTATCAGGCAACAATGGATTGAAACACAAAGCACTAATCTGCCCTAACCTTCATCTTTGTGCCAGGTCATGCCGGTTTTCAAAGAAAGGAGCGTACAGACTATGTTACTGACACTGCAGTTGCTATGGCTGGCCCAGTACTGGACAGAAGTTATGTTATCAATGCTATGCGCTGAACTTACCGTACCGAGGAGCACGCCAAAGGACATGACTCCGTATCCCTGTCTAGACTGATGGATATTGGGGTGCAGCCTGGAGTAGCAAGAAATGAACATTTCACTAAGGGGATAAGTCGTTACATTAACCAATACAAAACAGGCAAATAAGTGTGGTATGGAAAGTTAAATAGAAAATTAGAAGTGTGGGTGATAGTCATAGGACACATGGGTGGGCAAAGGTTACCTATATGCACCTGCTTGCATGTTTGAGTACGCCTCTGTGTAGAAATTGTACTTCAGTAAAGATCCAGAAACCATGAGTTGTTATCCCTCTTGCTCGGTACTATCGATATCGCAACCCTTCGGGGTTGATTCAATGATAAATACCGTTAATCTGGGAGAAATGTGGCTTGTCTGCCTATCCCCAGGCCTAAACCAGGACCACAATGAGTTCGTCACCCGGTCGCCGCACAGTCAAGTTTAACCAGCTGAGCTAGCGATACGGGCTTCAGGAAAGATTTAAAAAGGTAGCATTAAACTTTACCTATCTGTCTCTTCTTAATTTGGAGATGCTTCTAACGTGTCATTTCAGCGATGATAGAGCAGCATAGTAATCAGAACAAACGCTAAACACCCAACAGGATATTTATGTTTTAAAAACTGACTAAGTGTGTGAGAAGTTAGATATCTAAGTCAAGTTTACTGGGGGAAAATAAAACAAAAGCACCACAACCGAGTCATAAATGTTAATTCTCTACAAGACCACTCATTCTCAGCGTGTCCTCTTTTTCTTTATATATACCCAGCAACTAAATATCCAGTGGACAAGCTATCAGGGTATTTTTTTTTTCCTTATCTCTTTCTGCCCCTTTCTATCTTTATCGTTTTTCACTAAATTCTAGCCTCTATTGTTGTTCTCAAAATGTACATTCTATCATCTGACAAACAAAAAGAAGATGCAGTGACACACTGAGGCCATTATGCTAGAGATGGGCTCTGCTTACTACTTTACTATGTATATATATATTTGAAATGTCTTCTCTAAATGTCTTCTTAGAGCTTGGACACATAACCAAAACGGGAGTTGTTATTATTATTTATTACTTATATATTGTCAGTACATTAGCATAAACATTAAATGCCAACATGTTATTACTTCTTATCCAGGGTGTACGATTTGACCCAGATCTGCCGCAGACATTGAGATTAGAGTTCGCAAAGTCCAACACTAAAGTCACTAAGCCTAAGCAAGCGTCCTCTCAACCTGTAACGTCCAACTCTGCAGGATTTATACATCCGATAACAGGACGTGGGTGATGATTTCTTTATTTTCAGTGTATTTGACCGTCAATGCCATAAGTACTTCAATTGTTTATTAAAGTATCTTCACTTGTTCTAATTTTAATTGTTGTAATTTCACGCCTGTGCATTACGCGTATACCAGAGAATTATCGTCTCACAAGAGAGTAAGGAAATATAACATTCAAGGAAGTCCCAACAACAGGTATGTCATTGATCCTAAACAAATCAACGAATATAGGCACAACAGGGCTTTAATCCAGTCACAGCTGGGAAAAAAAATAGATAAAAGATTTACATAATAAGTGCCAAACAAATGTTGAAAAAAAAAAAAAACAGACATATTTAATCACAGAACCATGTAACGGAAACATACCAGCAAAGCAAACAATAAATACAGGTTGAATTTCTTTGAAGGACAGTTCGCTTATCTTATGCTATGGGGAGGGGAGTGAGGGTTGGGAGGGGGTGGTAAAAAAGTTGACCATATTGAACAGGCTGAGAACAGTCTTAGTTATCTGAAAGTTCGCTTTACGCTTCTCTACCCCGACGTTTACTACGAGATGAACTGAGCTCCAGGTTGGGATGGCGATGGGATCTAGCCAATACTGTTCGTTATGTCCAAGCAGGTCATGTTAGACGGGGCGGCCGGCTACGGACAGGGCCTTTAGACTGGGGACCACTGGATGCCGCCACTTTGTGCATTTATGGATGACACGACTATAATGACGGGCAGTAAGGAGGCTGCCCACACGATCCTGATAAGCTGAAAAGATTGGACAATGTAGTTCAATGGTGCGGTGTGCACTTCAAACCGCAGAAGTCGAGGAGTCTGTCAATCGTGAAAAGTAAGGTGGCGGCGATCAGTTTCACAGTGGCAAGGAATCAGATCCTCACAGTTCTAGAGGAACCGGTGAAGAGCCTTGCTCGCCTTTACGATTTGAAGTTGTCTGATAGAGCAGAGGTCCGGCAAATACACGAGTCACTGGCTACAGGCCTGCTCGCTATCGAGCGTTGCAGGCTGATCGGGAAGTTTAGGATCTATGTCTCCAATTTATGTTGATCTCAAAGCTCATTTGGCCGCTGCTCGTCTACGAAGTGACGATGACTGCTGTGGAGACGATGGAGCGAAAAATCAACACAGCCATGAGAAAATGGTTAAGAGCACCACCTTGTCAGACTGATGTGGCTCTGTATTGTAAGCAGACAAAGCTGGTACTCAGGTTCAAATCAATAACCGAAGAGTTCAAAGTTGGCAAAGTAAGACTCGCGATGATGTTGCGTGAGTCTTCAGACCCCACTGTCACTGCTGTCCAGTCCGCTCTAAAGACAGGTGTCATATGGAAGATCCTAGATGCGATCGAATCTGCCCAAAATGCACTAACATTGATAGAAGTGATGGGTTACACTCAAACCGACGGTCGAAGCCCAGGGCACGGGACAGTCAGTTGGTGGTCCAAAGACACAGCTAAATAACGCTGAAACATAGTAATACAGCAGATTAGGGACATCGAAAACTAGGTTCAGGTCCAAAAAGCCGCACAACAGTCGCAGCAAGGCCAGTGGATGGTCCTCGAAAGCGCCTTGCCCCGAGTACTCACGGGGGGTGAGATCTGGCGAATGGCCCCGCTGCGACTAAACTTTATCGTACGATCTGCCTACGATGTGTTACTGTCCAGTTTCAACATGGTCACGTGGAGTGCGACTAACGACCCGACATGCCCGCTGTGCAGAGCTAAGCAGACGCTCAAGCACGTATTGTCCGCGTGCAGAAAAGTCCTAATCCAGGGTATATATACTTGGCGCCACAACAAGGTGCTGAAAGAGTTAGCGGACGTTGTTGACCAAGCTAGAATGAGGGTTAAATAGAAGGCCAGTCCTACCGTCGTCCCTGTGAGCTTCCTCAATGATAAGCAGATTTATAAAGGTAAATTCAACAAGGTCGCATACGCTCCATTGATGCTTGACTGTGCGAGTGACTTGCTACTGGCGGTTGACCTGCCTGGTCACGAAAAGTACCCAGAGTTAATCCAGAAGACCGGCTTGCGACCCGAAATGATCCTACACTCTGCGGAGAAACGTCAGCTCATCCTGATCAAGCTGACCGTGCCGTATGAGTCGCGATTGGATGAAAGTCATATGTATAAATTCGAGAAATACAGTGAGCTCGAGGCTGGTCTGAGGAGAGACGAAGCGTACACAGTAAGAATCTTCGCCGTCGAGGTAGGCGCAAGAAGTCTCGTTTCCACTTCTATGAACAATGTGATAAAACAGCTGGGCTTGCGAGGAAATTAGCGCAAACGATCACTAAAATAACTGGGCGGGGCTGCAGAAAGCGCCTCGAGCTGGCTCTGGACACAACGGAACGTCGTGGGGGACGGGTCTTGGTGAGCTGGTCCGGGTATCTAGTGGAAAAGAAAGTCTTATCCCTCAAAGTCCATCATGTCCGAATTGTCTGCCGGTGTTCCTCTGCCATTTGCCAACAAAGTCTAACATGTGTCCGATAAACCATACGTAAGCTTGTCACTTGGTCGTCCAGGTATGCTGACTGTCCTAATTATGCTACCGCAGCGACTATGTAAAAAAAACTTTGAATCTCACAGTACCTTTTGCACAGTCACAAATTTCGTCTTGTCCTTTTCCGAGAACATCCGGTAATACGTGCAGCAGGAGCAGTTCAACCCTTAGCATTATGAACTCAGGTGGGCCCACTCTCTAAAAATGTCTAGGAGCTCGTGGGCCAAAACATTTCTGGACGAGAGATCACTTCTACTGATGATTGGTAGACTCCTGCTGTACATGCTCCCTTGTGGAGTTTCTTCTTATAGCTGTGGTCTTGGCTTCTTTGTAAGAATTATGTTGGCTAAAATGACAACTGACAATTGAAAATAGAGAAAATCAACGCGGCAACGGTTGAAAGGTGAATTCTAATTAAAGAGTTAAATCAAAAGACAGGAACAGCAAAAATGCTACAGATTCTACGAAGAAGAATATTTGTGCATGAAAAATACGCATTTAAAATTGTACACATGCTTATTAGCAAATTATATCAGTCAGTCAGCTAATTTCTGATAGTTGTGTGTGTGTGCTTTTGCGCGTGTGTACACGTGTGCGTGCGCCTGTGCGAGTGCGTGCGTGTGTGCGTTCGCGCGTGTGTAGGTTGCTGATTCTTCTTCTTCTTCTTTCTTCTTTCTTCTTGATTTTCTCTCTTCTCTTCTTCTTTTTCTTCTTCTATTATCTTTTGCTTCCATCTTTTCCTTTGTCATTCTTGTTCTTCTTAATTCTTCTTTCTCTTCTTCTCTCACTCTTGTCCTTCTCTTCTCTCTTCTTTTCTCTCGTCTTTTTTTTTCTCTCTTCTCTGTCTCCTCTTCTCTTGCTCTCTCTCTCCTCTCTCTCTCTTCTCTCTCTCTCTCTATCTTTCTCTTCTCTCTTCTCTCTTCTTCTCTCTCTCGTGTGTGCGCATAACGTGTTTCTCTTTTTTTCTCTGTGGTGGGGCATACGTATATCCCTCGTGTGGTATGGCGTCTCAAGAGATTCTTTCTACGTGGGTAAGCCATCTGATTTGCTGTCTATGCATATAATTTAGGACCAATTATGTGCCTACTTTTTGTGTGTGTTGTTGAAATTATCTAATTTCTTATTATTGTATTTTCTGGTCACTTCTGCTAATAAACATTAGTATGTTCAAAACCACTAAAGTCAAAGACCTAAAATGTGACAGCAACTATCAAATATGAAACCGAATATCGGCCAATTAAAGTCACCACTCGAGACTGGATGTTGGAACAGACTTTAATTGCAGCAGTTATAGGAAACATCACATAATTTGACAACACAACGGAGTAGCGCCAAATATAATCATCTGGGTGGGCTGCTAAAGAAACTGTCGTAGGGGAAATAAATTATCCTAAATATTAAAGATCAAATAGATACAGAACAGACTGACAATTTTAAGAAACCTTTAAAGATATCATTTTAAAACCTAACACCACCCCCCCCCCCCCCCCCCCCCACCCCCCTCTCCCTCCACACCCGTATACAGTCTGTAGAAGTGGAACTGGATATTAATTGTCAAAACCAAAAACCAGAAACAAAAATTATAAAACCCACCCAATACTTGAATGCTCGCGACATTGTTGACCTAGGTGGACGTTTGAAAAATGTTATTAAGAATTACATAAACACCAGTGAATTCCACATTATTTAACTGTCTGAGAGACTACAGAAAATATCAGATAACAAAGGATTTCCGGTGAAAATGACAAAGAAAGAGGACCAGCAAATGGTAATGTTTAATTTGAGCTTCTGTGAAAGTATTGAACCAACTCATTTTAGAAAGTAAAAAAAAAAAGTAAAGGACCCTTTCCACGCCTTTAGGCGTATAGGGCATATAGGGCTAGACCTATATTTTTATAGACCAACGGCACAAGATGGGTGATGTGGTCAGCATCACGCCGGCCGCCTCTACTTCCCGGGATTGCACCCGGTACCCACTCAAGGCTGGGTCGACCTGGGAGGCAAGGTCATTTTTTGAAGAAAAGTCCGTCTCCGCGAGGGAGCGAACCCACGACCTTCCGATCCGCGGCGCGCGTCTAGCCGCTCTGCCACGGCGACTCCCTACTCATTTTAGAGAGATAACGAAATTAAATGATTTGTTTCGGACTAAGCAGATCCTTCACCGTCCATATAGTCACATGTCACATAATAATGTAACAAAGTATCGAAATTAGCAGTACGACAGGTATGACAGTTGTCGCATGTTCACATTACTACTAAGTAGCAAATGGATTACGGCGGCAACAACTAATACTTGAAATGGTAGACAATAATTTAGAGCTAACTTATCTGAACCCTGGTAACGACACTGCACTTGTTTCCCACATATGGAAGCAGCTGAAAGATAAATTAACACACCCAACACAAAAAAATGATACAAATTTACATAAAAATGTGAATAACCAGAAAAAAAAACCGATATGATAGTGAGATCTCCCTTGGTGGAATCTCACT